CCCAGGGTTCCATCTTTTGTCACTAGGGATGCTGTGTGTAAAAACTTAAAAGACATTTGTATACAAAATGTACAGGGGGCTGAAATCCAGATAGACTTTATTATTTTTAAGAATAATTTTATTTAATTGTGTTCATTATTATTATTTTTAAAATTTGACCAGAGACAGAGAGGGAAAGAAGGAAAGAAAGAAAGCAAGCCATGAGGTCCAGAACTTGAACCATGGTCAGCGATGTGTAGTCCAGCACCTAAACTACCACACTAACTGCCAGCCTCCTAGACTTGACTTTAAATCATGATCCCACTTTGACCAAGGCTGACTTATATCAGTGTGTCTACTTAACAGTACCAGCAGATAAAGAAAAATTTGGATTTTTGCTGAATGATTAATAGATACATAAAATAATTATATACTATGTACATATTTTATAATATACATATGATATGCATATTTGCATATACATTTGCATTATTTAAAGCTTTCTCAAAAGCATAAAAAATGTAAAACATCTTGATTAAAGTCTTCCCAAGAAAAATATGGGATCCTGATGAAGGAAATAACAGAATTTTTTGGTAAAATGTAAAAGCAAATGCTTCATTGAGTGTGCTCCCGGGCTGGCTGGATTGAATAATGTAAATGTCAGCTCTTTCCAAACCATTTATATGACATGCCATTCTAATAAAAAAATTCCAATGGAATATTTATTTTGGAACCTGAGAAAATGATTTTAAGGTTATTTGAAAGAAATGAATAACTGAGAATAACTGAAAAAATTTCTTTTTAAAATATATTTTAATTTAATTTATTTTATACATTCAATCACTATACAACACTTAACTTATAAAGCTAATTTTCCCTATATGAATACACTTCACACTAGTCCAGTTGAGGATGCTATACAATACACATTATCATCAATAGATAGTAATCTATTTCTGTGTCCTATAAAAAGGAAATTCATAAGGGGAGTATACACTATTGATAGTAAAATAAAATTAAAATAGTTTTTTTTTTTTATAACAAGACACAAAAAACAGATTTCTCAAAAAGAATAGATAGCCATAAAGCTCATTTGAGAATATTTAAGAATTTAATATGTGTTGATGAGAAAGGGATATATTCCATCATTACCAAAGAAAACCCATATAAATGAGAAATTCTATCTATATTCTGTAGAAATTTCTCATTATATGAATTAGAAGTATACTTACATAAACCTAGATGGCTTTACCCATTACACTTCTACACTACATGATAAAACCTATATGCTCCTGGTGGGACCACTGTCGTATATGTGCTCTGTCATTGACTGAACCATCATTATGCGGCACGTGACTATACTTAATTGACCTCATGTTTGTTGAACAAAGATTCCTCGAAACCTGATTATGTGCCAGAGACTGTAATAATGTTTGGAAATCAACTATAGAGAAGATGGACTTGGTCATTGCC